CCATCCTATGGGAGTGCTGCTGCTGTTCTGCCTCTAACAGTGCCAGCTTCCCTCCCCTCCAAGCCAAAGCAAATATACTCCACAGTTCAAATAGACCTGTGGGAAAGAGCTTTTACATTTCCTCCCTGGTCATTTTACCCCTGAATGCTGCAGTTTACATGTACTTAAAAAAAGAGCACAGCTCATGTTAGAAAAACATCTCCTTTTAAGAGGAGGCTGAAATATTGAAAGCTGCTGCGCTCCTCTAGAAGACGGGCTAAACCAGGAAAAGCCATGTTTGGATTTTTTGGGTTGGTTATTTTTGTTTGTTTGTTTGTTTTGCTAGCATAACTAATTATTCAGGAGCTTTGTGTGAAGGTGAGTATAAATGAGGGTCTAGCTGGGATTTCAGTCCATACCTGGTTTTGATTTTTTGGTAGAAAAGGACTAAATGTCATTTCTTAGGCAGAAGGGAAGGAAGTGCAAAGGTCTTAAATTCACACTGGTATGTGAGAGAAAGCCTGAAGCAGCTAAAAGTTTAGTGGTAAAATGTTTGCCCCTAAAGGAGGACCAATAATAAATTCACTAAAGGATCTTTAGAGGATCTGAAAGCACTGTAACCATAACAGCCTGCAATCCTCTGGGACACACAGCTCTCTGTCATTCACAGCTGCAGCTCTGAAGCTCATTTCCCAGTGCTGCATCCAGTGCCAAGTAAGATGGAAGAGCCACAACCAGCATGTCAGTAACACAGCATTTGAGCTGGGCCGGATGGAGAACCTCACTGTAGCGGGGAAAGATCATCTGGTGCTCAAAGTGAAGAATAAACCAGGCCTCCTGCGTTTCACCTCTAAAGTACTCCAGAAGAAGTTCACTGTTACTATTTTTTCTAATAAAACACAGCAGTTAAGGCCTGTGTTTTCCAAAGGAATCAAAGAGCTCATAGTTTACATCTCCAGCAGGATTTCTTAAGCAGATTTAATTTTTGGAATCATGAAACAATCGTCCTTTGAGAAACTAAGTCTTTTATGCCAGGCACACAGAAAAAAGAATGTTTTCAAATCCAACATAAGAATTTCACAGGACAGTTATCAGCAAACTCATCTCCCAGTGTCCAGCCTTTTGCAAGATCCAGTACAAACTGATGCAAGAGACAACAAACAATTCATCTCAATTTTTATAAAAATGAATGTTATTAGAACTGTTTCCCCAGCCTGGTTGGCAGCTGGATGCCATGTTCCTCGTCCAAGCACTCATGCCCACTGCATCACCCATGATTATAAAAGCATGGTGAGAACCACATCAGGGCAGGGACATGCTTTTGCTCACCAGGGACTGTGCCACAGGGGTTTTTTTTTTGTATGTACATCAAGCCAGAGCAAGTTCACGTGACTCTGAAACTGCAGCAGCTTAAAATGGAACAAGGCATATCCTGCCAACAAGAAGGCTGCTTTTCCTCTAATTTCTACTGAAACAGAGTTTGGCCTATGTCACACATTTAAGCATTTTCAGTTCTACCAGGGGTATACACCACACTACTCATTTTACTGATATAGTTTAACTCTTTAAATGTTGCTTTTCCAAATGCCAATGCAAGCAGAACACAAAAATACTGTTTGCCATATTTATTATTTTAAACTAAGCTCTGAATTATACAAGTGTAAAAGTGATTAATTAGCCAATAGCTTTTCAATAGTCCTATAAAATATGACTAAGTAGAATATTTCAAAAGTATGTACAATGCAATGGAAACGCTCACGGCATCTGTGGCAGTGCTTAGACAAACCACTGGAATCACGTCTTGTGAGGTGGTTCGGTCCATTCCTTGGTACAAACAAGTCTGTCTTTTTGCAAAAAGCTTTTTCGGTGTTGCTGAGTGGGATGGAGGGGGGAAAAGACCAAAATATAACTAACCTATCCCTCCCACCCAATTTAGGATCAAATAAATGCTGAACAGTTTATCCATGGGGAGAATTTTTAAATTATAAAGCACTTCACAGTACCTATGTCTGGTGTCTTATTATGGTTGAGGAAGGGATGCTCTTGACATGTTTTCTTGCCAAAACCAAAGTGTACTGGAGTGTGTCTGCGTATGTTAGGAATGGGGGTTTGTACTACCTTGTCCTTATTTCAAAAATCAAGACCACAGAAATTCTTTGTTGTTCTCTTTTAAAAGAGGAGATTCCAAAATACCCCTTCTCCATGCACTGGAAATGTTTTCATGCTTTAAACTGTACAGAGGAAGTAATTAAAAGTTCAATTTCGTATCTGAAGAGGTCAGAGAGGACAAGCAGGCAGCAGGCAACAGAAACAGCAACAGAACTCCCCTGATTTCCTTATTTTAATTTCCAAGGAGCAGCGGGAGCACTGTCCACCTGACAGAGGCCCCAGGGCATCACCGTCAGCTGCTCCCACCGGCTCCTGCTTTGGGAAGGAAATTAAAATGGTATCAGCTGTGTCACTGTGCCTCAGGAGCTGTAATGTAACATTCTTCCAGGGTTAGGACATAAGAGAATCTACTGACACCTATGAGAAGTGCAAGGCAGAGCAACTGAGCTCAGAGATGCTACAGAAGAGCAAATTCCCACTGGGGAAGTAGGGGCTTTGCCTCTGATTTACTGAATTAAATAGGACAGTTCCCCTTCCAGATGGTCAGCATTTTTTGAAAGAAGCCTTCCTTCCATGCCAGGCAAGAACTAGCCTTTAGCAAAATACCAGCTTCTCTCAAGGGTCCCAAATGCTGTGACTTTGATGATAAGGACGTTATTTCATAACACCTGAAACATTTTCCTTCTGATCACCATTATTTTATCATATACAGGTGATATAGAAGCTTTGACCATAGTTACAACAGGCTGCTTTGAATTTTCAGGTTTGCAGTTGTGTTTCTATTTCTGTGCTTTAAGCAATGAGCCATGTCCCGCTGCCTCCTGGGTAGCACTACACAGCTTTACACAGCCCAGAGTAGTCAGCAAACAGGGCCTCATTTTAAATCTGTCTGAAAATGCACTTTGAGCAAAGAACATTTAAGGTCCAGTGATTCAATTTGCAGTATAGTTTTACATCATTTGAGGCCAAAGTCCTTGGTTCAGAACCAAGTCTGAGAGCATGGATACAAGGACAAGATTCAGCCTCCAACAGTCTTGACTGTAAAAAAATCCGGAGCATCACTTTGATTGGTGATGATCTCTGATCACTTACGTGTTTAAATCTTACTGTCCCTGTTTATATCTTACTGTCCCTGTTTATACTGGTCTAAACCCCAAGTACTTCAGCATTCTGTGTGTTCTCAAAAAAGCCAGTGGTGTTACTCCTGAAATACCGTGTGGGGCCTATGATGATCCTGTTTTCAACAAGAACATCAGGGTACAGCCGCAGGGCTGTGAGTGACAATTTGTTTACTTAAACCAATTCTAAATACATCACTGAAAAAATAATTGAAGTGAAACCTCTAAGGAGTTACTTTAAGAAAACTTTACACAGTCATCATGAGGATATTAAAGCCCCATTTTCTGTTCAGTCTCTGCTGTAGTTAATGTGCTTCTATCAATGTGACACACACACACACACACACACCACGATGTCCATAATGCAGTAACAAGTATCACATTATAGATATATGCTAAGTAAAGCACTGTATCTCATCAGGAACATCAGGGGGCTGTGGTGGTCAGAGAATGAACTATATGAGAATGACAAGTCCTCATTCTCAGAACATCCTCACCATGCACATTGTGAATGCCATCTCCTGTCCTCACTGACAGAGCAACACTCTTCTTGTCCTGGAAGTGCTGCTGAGCCAAGACCGCAGCAAGGGGAACTTGACTCTGCTGAAGCTTTGTAGCCTTGCTGCTAGTTAAGGGTGCGATGGAACCCTCCCTCAGAAACCAGATCGTTAGGTTTTATGACAAAAAAATCTCGACTACAGAACCTAAGCTGACTTTTCAGACCCTAGAAGGAGCTTCCAAGATGTATTTACTTATTTTAACCTGCAAAGGATTTTAAACCGTGGAATCTCGCTGTGCCATTTCAGAGTCACTTTGGGGAGTACAGCTGCAGCTAATTAGCTTAAAAATCCCACCGTACCTTACACATTCGCTCAGTTTCTGCAGTATTAATTTCAGTGGAACTACTCATGTGCATAAATTAAGCGCATGCTTAAATATATGCAAAATCTGAGCTCAAATGTCTAGAAAATATGTTCTCAAAATGACAAGTACGCATTAAAAAAATAAATCATCATGGAAGATCTGCCAGACAGGGAATCCGGGATCTGTCTGCTGTCAGCCATGATGCAAACACAGAACAGTTTTTGTAACCCAGTATATACTGCAAGTGAAAGAAACATGCAGGACAGAGTGAAAAAAGGGGATTCAGTTGCATGCAGTCTAATTTCAAGTGTGTAATTATGGTCCTGTTTTCTTTGGCCTAAAAAAAGAGAAGGAAAAAAAAAAAACAACAACAAAAGAACTCCAACTAACCTCTCCTCACCTCCACAAACCCAAACTGCATACAGCTCAAAAACGGCTTTGAAGCACGGGAAGTAGGAAGGGAAAAGGGCTGAATATTAGAGATGTACACGTAATTACTGACAGTTTCAGGGCTATTCACCACACCACTAGGAAAGCATTCAGCCTGTATCATTACTGGAACTTACAGCTATGACAGAGAGCAAGGAATCCCATCCTAAATGAGCAGTCAGTCAGCTTCTCTTCCTCAGACTCAGAGAGAAGTACTACTCATACCTTGATGGAAGACAAACTGACAATCCCTGTTGATATTCTGGCTCCCTCCTCCTCAGAGAGAAGGACTGACAGACACCAGACCCTCCAGCAAGCTGCTACCTCTCCCCTGAGCCCAGGGAGCTCTGTCTCACATCCCTGCCACAATGACAGACCAGTGTTCTCTACAGCTGCTGGTGGAAGAGGGTGGCTTTCTGCTGTTTCTAAAAATATTGCAAAGATAGTGTTCCTCACAGAAAATTCCAGGGGGATGAAAAGGCCACAAAGCTGCTAGTCGATTAAAAAAAAACCACACATACCCCCTTTAAAAAAAATAAAAGAAAAAGGGAAAAAAACCTCTCTGGTGGAAAGTGAGGAGGGCAGAGGAGCAGGCTGCTTGATGAAGGGCAGTAGCAAGTATCCTGGGAGCTTGAATATCAAGCCTGATATCAGTCTAATTTCCACCCTGAACCGTCTCTCTGGTAGTGATGTTTCAGCATGCAAATTAGAGCTGCGAAAACATCCTCAGACTGAAACCCTCCCTCGTTTCTTCTGCCTAGTTTTGCCCTTTCCAGCTAGACCTATTAGTTGGTGTGATATGGTTACATGTACAAAGATCTTTTTCCTAGCCCTTTTGTTACATAGGCTTGATTACTGTGAAGGGGTTTCAATGACCTTAATGTCCCGGTACTCAGAAGGCAATGGCTGCCTTTGAACAGAACAAAGCAAACAAAAACCAAGAGCTGTGCTGGAGGAGAGAAGTGCTGCTTCTGCCGGAGAGGCTCAGTTAGATACAGGCGGCGGCAGACCAGGGCGTCGAGTTTGAATGATTTTTGGCTTTGGAGAATTCTTTGGGTCCTCGTCGTCTTCCATGTCGCTGTCGCAGACGTGCACTACCACACTGGGAGTGGACTCTGTTCCCGCGTGCAGCTCGTATTTCTCTCCTGGAAGCAGAGAAAAACAGTGGTATCAAAAGCTGGCAGTCCGGGCAGCAACACAGGCCGTGGCACTCCTGGACTGCAAAATAGTCCTGCACCTGGATAGGGCAGGTGAGTGCGTGCTGCTCCTAAATACAGGTGAGGGCCAGCAGGGTTGGGCTCTGTCAGCTGTCACTACAGCTCCTCAGGATCCTGCATTGGTCTGTAAGGCATGATAAAATACATTGCACCCTGGTGTCTGTAATGGTGCTTTGCACAAATATTGGTGCTGACAGCAGTGAAATAAACCCACAAAGTAGGAAGAAGAGAAAGAACACAGAAGTTCATGGTTAAGAAGAGGAACTAGAACTCAACCTATCAAACCTTTGGTGTGAAGCCACGTCACACCTTTTGGGTTGGGGCTGTTCTATATTGTTGTTGTCGTTTTCCTTCAGTTTAGGGTGGCTTTAGCCACATTTAAAGTCCACTGGATTCTGCAACTTGTTGCCCTCAGACAGACTTCAACACTTGATCTAATTTCTCCAGAAATAAAAAAATATGCATCTCTGCTCCAGACGGATTTTGAGTTTCAAAGCTCTTTAGCTGGGACTGTAACAAATTGTGTCTCTGCAGATGAGATTAGAGCACAGTCTGCCAATGCTCACTAGCAGGCTAAATGCTTAAATAGTACATTAAATTTTGTAACTATCTACATTCCTTATTTAAGTCTTCACCCAGTACTCCTGCAAGGAAGATGAACATGTCTTGGGTGGTTTCCTGCCAGAGTCCAAAAGCAGACAAAGGATCAGACATAGGACTTTCTGTCCGGCATTCAGCTTGCTGGCACTACGTGTGTTTTGGATTGTGCAAGGAATACAAGTAGGCATTGGTTATTAAAAAATGCTAGGAATTAATTCAACACTGTAAAGAAGAAAACATTCCCTGCAAAATGTTCAGAGGTGAGGAAGGAGAGGTCCCAGTACACCCGGCTGACTTCTGTTTGTGCCACAGCAGCTCCTAAATGCTGCGGCACAACCAGAACCCGGCAGTGCCAGGTGTTGCATGACGGAAGCAAATGGCAGTTCCTGCCTCAAAGCACTTACAGTTTGCTCGTGGTACTAATTTGGATATTTATTTGTGAGCCACTTTGTGGCAGAGTCGTTCACGTGAGGAAGGGGTTGCAGGTTTGGCCCTGCATTAGCACACGCAGTTCTGCAACTGCGCTCGTGTGCTATTTATGCTGGCAAATTCCTGGTCCAAATAAGCCTGGGTGGCTTGAGACTAGAGGACATGCTGTATTTTTGCCTAAAAAATAGGAGGCAACTAGTGAATAATAGCTATAAGTCAGGCATCTTGCTGTGAGAAATATTTCACTGCTGTGATACCATTAATGTTGACATTTAACTGCTCTATTTTTGGCAACCTTTCCTCTGAATCCAAATTGAGCAAAGCATTACAGGTCTTGCTGATAGGCTAAAATATAAAAAAGAGAAATAGCTCGGTTGTGCTGCATTGAGAAATTATATGGTTTTTCTTTGCCCATTTTCCCTGCGGGCTTCAGCTAATTTCTCAGCTCTGGGCTGACGTCAATGCTGCCATCCAGCACCGAGGGCTGCATTGGTCACTGTCAGCGACAGGCAGCTCTGCAGTGCCACAAACACGCAGCGCTGGGCTTGTCCTCCTACACCAGCACCGCCGAGTAAATCAGATTCACTGCCCTCTTAAAAGGCAATAATCCCAGTTCAAATGCCACATTCTTTTACTGCTCAAATCCTTCCCAGAAGGACCCATTCTACTGAAAAAGAATAGTGGAAATAAGTACAGACATGAGAAAAAAAAAATTCAGATGCCTCTGGCACGAGTAACTGCAGCAGCAATTAATGTCACTTTGCAAACCAAAATGTGATGTACTTGTAAATTAGGTTTTTAAGGCATAGAGTTATTTCTGAGCATAAATGAGCTGCAGACTCTGTTCTGTACTCAGGATTATTCAGGCCTGCAGAACTGTGGCTCAAACGGCACAAAACCTTTTCATGGATGAGCTAGGAACAGGGCAACAGTAACTCTGGGACTTTTGTACAGCTGCATCTTGTTCCAGAATGTAACCACTGTTTGCAAAAATACACTGAGGTGGTAAATACAAAATAAAAATCTGATAGATACAGCCAGATTAGACCTTCTCTTCTGCTTTTTCTATGTGTTTTTTTTTCTTTCCTCTTAAACATCATCTCCAGCATAATTTAAAAAAAATGAATTTGCAGCAGTTCAACTACTGAAGCAATGGTTGAGTCACTGCCATTGAGTCATGTTTACAAGACCTACGTTGTCCCAAGTCGAGTCAGCATAGTTAAAAGTCACCATGAGCTTCTGTAGCTAATACCAGTCCAGCATTTGTCCAGTGATCTCATCCAGCTGTCTCTGATGTGGTCTCCTTCGTGTTCTCAGGTCCTCCGTTGCCCCATGCTCCTACCACTCCCACTCACCCAAAGAACTCTTAAGAGGCTAAGACAAAGGATTCCTGGGGAGAGGGGTTTTTCTCCTTCAGCAATCTTTGCCTATCTCTATCCTTTAATAATAAGTTTAAATATTCACATAAGATGAGATAGCAGTGGTAACTCACATAAATTTGCTAATATAAAAATACCACCAAATTTATCAAATATACTTGAACATCTAATATCTGCCTTCAGGATATAACGCGAGGAAGAATTAAGCTGAGGTATCTCCACCACACAGATTTGTCAGAAAATGTTTCTGACAAACCTCTAAAAAAAAGCAGTGGTGTTCCTTTATTCATTTGCTTCATATGAGAAAAACAATAAGAATTTGAAGTTTCCCCATTCAACAAAAAGTACAGCTTATTTTATGTCACTGGGCCCGGCCTTTGGTGACCACATGAACCATGAGCAAACCTGCAGCCTCAGGTGACGCAAGGAAGATGACCACAGGAACAGCACAACAACAACTTATGGCATTTCAGAATTAAAAATAATGGCATGGGATTTTCTGTCCCTTTGAGAATCAATACTGTGACCTTTCATTGATGGTGCAGCTCCTGCCTAATGAGGCCCTTTTGTCCAGCAAGGACAATGCTCATAAACCTAATGAATAATGAGCAAATGGTAATGATACTGTGTAGCTACCTCATCCCTGATTCAGACTCATGAGCGAAGGTTAATGGGTTCAGAGCTGCCCATTCCACGTTAAATGTGGCATTAGCATCATAAAAATACCTTCCACTTATAGTCCCTTCATCCAAGTATGTTACAAATACTTGGGTGCAAATAACAAGGCGGTCCTTTGTCTGGGTGCACGTTCATGACGGAAGAGCTACAGTCCATCCCACAAAATACCTCTATACCATGGATGTGCCACATGCTGCTCCCTGGAAGCCCATTCCTGATGTTGTTACAGGAGCAGGGCACCCTCCTCTCCTGACCAGAGGGAAAGTTTTCTCCACCCACCAACTGCCCTGTACCCTGCCCCTGGTAAGGGAAGGAAGGGCCTAAGCAGCCACAGAACAGCAGGGAGAGGAAGGACAGACCTCCTATCTATCACCATTTGTTTGCCCCTCCATCCTCTTTTAGTCCTCTCTGGGAGTCATATAAAGTATTTAGGCTTTCCTTTGAATTAGTGAGAACAAACATGAGAGTTTGAAAACATCTGAGGACAGAAAATTTGCTGTGCGAGACATGGTTTGAAATCCGTGTGGGGGGCATTTCCTGGGCAGGGTCCTGCTCTCTCCTGTTTTCCCCTTCCCTGAAGAAAGGTGAGCCAAACACAGGGTGGGGTAGGGGCAAGAGCTATGCATCCTCCCCAAGAAGCCCAACTAGAGCACAGAAGGAACAGCTACTTCTGAGTGAAACAGCCAAATGGCACAGACAGCTGCTGGGTCTCCTTTGTGTCCCAAGGGCTACCACTGTGGACTCAAGAGCCGCTTTCTGTGACACCTCAGAATGGTGCTTTTGTAATGTGAAAAATGTATTTTAGGTGATTTGTAGATCACTGCAGTAATAATTGGCACAGCAAACAGCTGCCTTTCCTTTGAGAGGAACAGCTGTGCTGTAGATACAGTTTGGACCTGGATATTCCCCCTTCCCCCCCCTACAAGCATTTCTCATACAAAATTATTTCTGGTCTTCCATGGTGGATTGAAACTAAGACCTTATAAAATTTTATGGAAAAGACATGAGGGCCTAGACTACACAACAGCTTGGTAGGTTGCAAGCATTCCTGCAGGAAAAGGTTAGGTCCAAGTCAGGACAGACAAGGATACAACATGGACCTGCCAGGCAAACAGCCAGCCAACCACCCCAGCTCAGCACAATGGCTTTGAGTCTACACTGGCATTTCAAATCTGGAAGTTCTCTTGACAGTGGGAACATTTTCCATCAAACTGATTAATGCTCACACTTCTTTATTTGCAATATATTGAAAAAATTGTAGGCTGGTGGTCAGCACCAAGCACAGTCACAGTTCCTGGCTCTGACTGATCTACGGCATTCCGTTCACGCCTCATTTAAAGCCTAATTTCTGCATCTGCAGAAAGTGAGAATATACATCAATCAACCAGGTTCTTAATTAAATATGCCACGATCTTCCCTAAGAGTAAATGCACCCTCACTGATCTCAATTTAAAGTGAAAGGACCAAAACACAGCTTCCTTTTGAGTACAGCAGGAAGAAACCTGTTCTGTTAGATCCCTGAGATGCCAGTCGGTCACTGCTGCAGCAAAAACACCTGTCCCAAAACTGAGCTTGGAAAAGGAGGGCACACAGCAAATATTTTAACTCACTTCTTACATATTCATTATACCCTGGAGCAAATCTCCCAGTGTTTTGCAGTCAGGGACAGTTCTGGTCTCTAATTTTGTGGCTGTGATGATTACAGCAGCATGCTGTGACAGGAGGTGACCTGTATTCATGGAATGGGAAAGGAGCGTGTCCAAGTGGTGCATCTTGCAATCCCAGCGAAGTAGGTCAGTAAAACTCACCTTGTGCCGAGGACATACAAAGACACTATTCGCTGTTTACAAGCTCCCATGAGTTTTCCTGGTCCTTGCATATTTATTTTACCAAATCGCTAGATTTAACGCTGCAAAGATTCCTCACAAGTTAAAGACCTGGAAGTCAGGCTCTAACATTCACAGTTCTGTGAACAACTGTGCCAGTATTTTTCGATAGCTGATAAGCCATAGTTACATTTTTTAACTGTGTTTTTAAATGAAAAAAAAAAAAATCTCCCTTTGCTGCAGCTACCAGTGCTATTTGATTCCCAGCAGTATATCTTTACTGCTGCAATACCAAGAAATGAGTGTCGGTGGGATTTGTTTTTCAATGAAATTCTAAACATAGTAAATGTACAAACTGAGAACAGCAACACTATTTTAAACCCGCCGCTGCAGTTAACTAAAATTGATCCCTCTAACGAGTGCTAAAAATAGAAAGAAGAGAGCACACAGTGACTTTTCATATTGCTCCCTGCAGGCTCCTTAAATCCGGGTGAATTTGACCTTCACGCAAAGCTGTCCCAGAGTGTGGGACAATGAGTGATATTTCACATTCCACTGCTCCAGAACAGGAATTGATTTATTACCCAGCTAGCTCGGGAATTCGTTTACATGTTTCCATTTATAACACTGCTGCATCAAAAGGAAGGAAAAAAAAGGTTTCTGTTTTTCTTTTATTCAGCAGTTTAGAAGCAAAGTATCAATTCTGGAAATAATAATATGCTGTATAGTACAAAGCATTACACCTCATTGCCTTTTTCTATGGGCTTTCCTGATGAAGGGGAATAAACCACAGGAATCTCTGACGCTCTCCTGATATTTATTTTCCCACTGTGAAGGATCCCATGTGAAAAAGATAGGAGATACTCCAGCAAACCTTGTGAATCATGAAACATCTTCCTGCACCCCACGCGCTCCAGCTCAGGTTACTCTGGTGCAGTTGTACAAGAGCCCCAGTGATAAGATGTCTGCAAGTGGAAGCTGCTCTCAGAGTGAGCAAGCAGACATCTCCAGTACAGCTGGGGAGAAAACAATTCTCTCATCCCACAAGAATTTCAAAAATAAATTGCTAAATTTTCATGAGCTCACCCCTCCAATTGTTATTAGATTGGATGTGAAGTGTTTTATTTTGGTGTGAACATAATTTAATAAGCTATTTTTTCCTTGTGGTTTGTGAAAGTAAATTGGATTAATTTCTAAACAATACTGCTTAGACCTGAACCTGGAACCTTTTCCACTTTGAAATTTTTAGAAGAGTATCCTTTAACAGCTTTGAAAGAAAATAATTTGTAAAGATAACTTACTTAAATCAAAAGTAACCCTCTCCTATGAAAAGTTTTGGTTTCATCAGATGAGCATTTCCTAAGGGAAAGCACTGTTTGAAAATCCCAGATATCTTTCATTACTGGCATCAGCTGAAGATGGGAAGACAGAAGAAAGCTTGTCTGCATTACCCATTGACATCTATTCTATGTTAACAGAGGCTACAATTTATCCCATTCTACCCGTATACAGTTTTCAGCAAAAAATGAGCATTCCTAACAAAGTAATCTTGCTGGGACTGGGGAAGGGTATTCTCTTTTGACAAACTTGTTAATGTGAGAGATTCTCCACTCCAGTGGAGGTACTGTAATGCCTAAACATTTGATGAGGTATCTGCATCTTGGAATGCAGTACCAAGCAGATGTCATTTAAAAACTCCTCAAGTTCACTGTAGAGCATTTGTCCAGCCTCCACCTAAACCATCAATTGTCTCATTTAAGCACAAACCTCAGCACAATAAATTCTGGAAGCAAGCTTTGATCTGCTGTTCAACCCAACAACACTCACAAGCTGCAGAAAACACACAATTCTGTACATACCTATGGCAAAACTCATTCTGAGAAGAGAACCAGCTGACATCCATCAGCTTAAATCCAAAGCTTTAATGTGACTTACAGACTTCATGCCAACTCCCTCTACAGCTATTATCTATGCTGATATTTCTTGCCTTCTTTTTCTGACGCATTTTCACTCAAGGGCCACAAGCTTACCTGGTCCAAGCTTGGAAACTGCATAAAGGAGGTCGTAGTTGATGACAGGTGTTGCATCGTCTATTGGTTGCCACCCTACAGGTGGGGAGGCTGGAGGCGAGATGAGAAACTGTTTTGCAGGCTGTGGTGGTGCCAAATGAAGCTTGTCTCCATCTGTCTCAGAGGTCTGAATCTTTAAAGCATAACAAAAGACATTGTTTAGTACAGGGTAGAATCACAGAATGGTTTGGGCTGGAATGGACCTTTAGAGATTATCTCGTCCAACCCTCCTGCAATGAACAGGCACATCTACATCTAGATCAGTTTGCTCAGAGCCCTGTCCAACCTTGACTGTTTCCAGGGATGGGACATCCACAACTTCTCTGGGTAATCTGTGCCAGTGTTTCACCACTCTTACTGTAAAAGAACTTTTCCTTATATCTAGTCTAAATCTGCTCTCTTTCAGTTCAAAACTACACCCCCTTGTCCTATTGCAATAAAAGATTTGTCCCCATCTTTCTCATAGGCCACCTTCAAGTACTGAAAAGCCACAATAAGGTCTCCCTGGAGCCTTCTCTTCCCCTGGCTGAATAACCACATCTCTTTTAGCCTGTCTCCATAGCAGAGGTACTCCAGCCCAGTGATCACCCTTGTGTCCCTCCTCCAGACCTACTCCAAACAAGCCCTGGTCCTTCCTGTGCTGAGGACCCCAGAGCTGGATGCAGCACTCCAGGTGGGGTCTCACGAGGGCAGAGTAGAGGGGAAGAATCCCTCTCTTCTTCCTGCTGGTCACTGTTCCCTTTATACAGCCCAGGACACAGTTGGCTGTCTGGGCTGCCAGCGCACATTGCCAGGTCATGTCCAGCTTTTCATCCACATAGGATGGCTAAATGGAATGATTACTCAAACCACACACTTCCAATCCCAAATGCCACCCAGGCAGGGTTTCAACGTCAGTCTCAGCAGAGAAGGCCTGGAGATGAGTTTCATCTCAGCCTTACAGATGGTGCCTCTGCAGTAAATGCACGGTGGGGGGCTGTTATATCAGCACAGCTACTCTGTTTGTGCCTATTGTATACCTTCTCCCAGGATAAGTACAAAGCTTTGGTATCCACAGCTGCTAGTTCAGAGATTTCTGAGGCTGAAAAGATACTGTTGTGATCTCCTGGTCTAAATGCCTAAATGAAAACAGACATTACACAAGAAACCACTAACTCCTGCACCAAGGCCTTATAAGTAACTTCAGAAAGGTTTCTAAATATTTCATTTCTTTAGTTGACGTGATAAAGGAATCTATCATGTTCCTTAGTAATTTGCAACTGAATGTTCTTATTTTCATCTTAAATTATCTAGTTTAATTCCTGATCTTTTCTTTTATGTTAGAGAAGCCTCAGCACAAATGAATTATACTACAGCCATACATGACTAAGGTTACAAGCACCTCGAGCCCAGAGCAATAAACTGTATTTTTGTGACAGCAAATGCATCAGGGTGCTGGCAACCCCGCCATTCCAGAATGGGTTTGCAAAGAGCCAGTCTGGGTCTCTCAACATCATGTTCCCCAACACAAAGTGGTTCTTCAGCCTGGCTCAGGGCATACACTGCCTCAGACACTCTGCTGCTTCCACATCTTCCTCCCTGGACATGATTAATAAGCTCTCTTAAGACTGAGTGTACTGGAGAGCACAGTGCAGATACCAGAATGGCTCTGCAGGAAATCAGCTTAGATAGGGAGACTAATCACGATTGTGCACATTTTTCTTTTTCTTGTTATCCCAAGTTTCCAATTAACCTCTTGATTGTGCAGTAAGAGTGAAATGGTTCTCAGATCTGCTTAACTGCAAGTTTTGAAACCTCTCAGAAAAAAAACCCAGAGCTAGATCTAAAAGATTAAGGCATATAAAAAGGGATTGAGGCAGATTCTCAACACCTAAATCCAACTGTAAGATATTCTGAACTCATCTCCTGCCAAGGCTCAAAACAGCTTCTATTTTGACCAGGATGAAGAGGATCACAATTTAACAGCCTCTTGCGTTTGCCTGATACATTCAAACAAGTCAGCCCTTAATATCAGACCTCTGAAGGGCCAATCTGGCAGCCCAAAGCACACTTACATTGCTCATAGACACTAGTGGGTATCTCACATGCCACAGTGGCCACAGCAGTTCATTAAAATGCATTCAGAAGAGGCAGTGGTTGGGTTCTCAACCTCCCACACCTTTCTGTGTGCTGGCTGGGGCCTATTACCCACCCAGGCTGTGGGAAGTCTGTGTTCTCTCTCCCTTGTCCAAGGAGAACTGAACCCCCACCTAAAACTTTCAACAGATGGATATATAATCACCTGTGCCCCCAGGCTGGGAGTGTTGTTCTTCCCCTACCTTCTTCCTTTTACTTGAACTTAATAAATTCTTTCTAGAGAATTCAATATTTGTAATTCATGTATTCAGTAAGGAAAAAAAAAAACAAAAGGCAGAAGGAAACCTGACTGTGGCTCAGGTTTGCAGTCAAATAAGTAATCTGGCTTTTTGTTTTAATTATTATTCATTTGGATTCTTTACATTAGCGCTTTTTTTATGGTTAGTTTAGAGAGTTACCTGTAGACAACACCCATGGTTGTAAATCACCTCTAAGCTATGTAATTCTGTGTGTTGAATAAGCAACTTTAGTCCTAAGTGGCCCTTTAAATTTACTGCAAACCCTCAGGGCAGGTACAGCTCAGTCAACATAAGGAGGTTTGAGTAATCTTTCAGCGGAGAGATTGGGCATGGGAGAAACCTTTATTACTTTTATTCAGTGTTATTGCACAATATTTCTATAAAAGCTTGTCACTAACAGAAGTAGATTCCAGATTTCATTACCTGTGCAAAATACAACTTTAACTTCTTCCCTCGGAACTGTGTTTCATGCAGCTCTATCCTGGCACGAGCAGCTGATTTGGGACTGCTAAAATTTATCCGCACGCGCCTGAAGCTTTTGAACAGCTGGAATGTCACACACTCATCATAGGCACGGAACAAGCCTTCGAATTTCTCCTGCAAATTAAAAAGAAACAATGCTGAAGAATAATTTCGTGCTCTGTCACACCAGCCTGCGCCAAAGGAGAATGTGGAACTTGACAACCATTTAACCAGGAGGTTTCAGACTGTGGCCTTTGGGGGCAGGCGTCCATAGAGTAACAAAAGCTCTGTGAAAAGAAACTGAGGAGTAGTAGTGCTGGACTCTGCAAAAAGTTTGGGGGAAGAAGACTTCGAACTGAGAACCCAGCAGCTACTGAGCTTCTCGTAGAAATTGAGGAAAACTGCGACAGTGACACATGAAATGAAGCTGAAAAGGGCACATGACTGAAAACACCAGACAACTGTGGGCTCATCTCTACAGAAGCAACCATTGTGCTGAACTACAATGGAGTCAGCAGAGAAAGGCTGAAACTGAGGGTTACATCCACATCAGCCCTGCAGTGTCATTTTGTATTGCATGAGATGTTTTTTCTGGATGTTTTGTCATTTAAATACTTAGTGCAGAAACACAATCATTCCTTGAGATCTCCTGTGGCATTTGAGAATCAAATTGGGTAACTGAAAGCAGTGACCTGTCCCAAAGACAAATTTCAGGCTGTAGAAACACTTTCAAAAGCACATGACAAAAATATGAATATTTCAACATTGTAAAAGAAAGGCCTGAAGTGTACCACATCCATGGACCTGGAGGCGAACAGAAATTCAAGGTACGATGGTAGCCTGGGAGGCTCAGACCCTCTGTGATTTCTCTATAAGCTGTGAGCACACAGAGGACTAGTTCCACACCACCCAAAAACCAGCAAAATCCTTAAATCGATTCTGGCACTTGCAAGTGTCTTTTCATTCACACAAGTACAGATTCATAAAATATTAAGGGTGAAAGAGGGGGCAGTTATCATTTAGTCCAGCCTCTGTATTTACCCAGCTTTCAGACTGTCATCCACTGAGTCGCACATCAGTTCCAAGCATTTTAACTACTGCAGCCAAGATCTGAAGTCTTAGAAGACGGACAATCAGCCAGAGCAAAGCCCTTTCTCTTACGACTGCTTTATCCTGAAGAAAATCCAGTGTTTGAGATGATTTGCAACACCATTTCATACACCGAGGGCTATTATGTCAGGGGCTTGTATAATTACAATAACCTAATGTATGATTACAATAACCTGATGTGGCTGCCCCATCCCAGGGCGTGCTCAAGGCCAGGCTGGGTGGGGCTTGGAGCAACCTGGTCTAGTGGAAGGTGTCCTTGCCCATGGCAGCAGGGTTGAAACTAGATGATCTTTAATGTCCCTTCCAACGCAAACCATTTTGTGATTCCATGTTTTCTTTGCTATCTCTGCAGGCAGTATGGTTTTACATGTTTTAAAATATGACTTCTTTTCTTTTCATCCAGGAAAACAATTTCTCATCCTTATAGTGAATAACTGGTAAAGACTGCAGAAGATAAAGAAGAAAATGCAATTTATGTAATCTCATCAATACTTCAGTTCTCATCTGTTGAGCTTGCAAGCAAAACAAAGAATTCAGAACTCAGAAAAATTGTATCTTGAAGAACAGTGCAGCTGCATCAGGGAGCACTAATGGCACTGGGGGAGTAACTACTGTCAGCCTGAGACATTTGTTTAGGAGTTAACTGGGAAAACAGACCAGTGCCGTGGCAAAGACTGTGACACACCAGTGCGCATGTACCAGATCTCCTTTCATTCACTGCCAACTCTGTGGTCTTCTTCCCCATAACTGATATTCCATCTCTGGCACCCTTTCAAAGGAACCTCCCTGTGGTCTATTAAGCTTTCATGATTTTCATTTCATTCTGCCTGACCTCACTCACCCCTTCCTCTCACCACAGGAGACACTCTGGAGGAATAAAAAAAGAAAAGGGAAAGAAAAAAGAGAGGCGAGAGCTCTGTGGTTTGGCTGTGGGTGACTAAAGGCACACAGTTATCCCCAGAACAGTGTGAGGCTGCTAGGTTTGTACAAGTGGGTCTAGTCATACCACCTAATGTCCAGACTGTCAACATTTCCCACCTGAGCTATGCCTTTTGTCTGCTTTGCTGACATTTTTGAAAAATTCCATTTTCCTGAGCAGAAGTCTTCATCCAATGGCATTTGTGTAAAGGTCAGCCAAAAGCAGCAGTCATCTCAGTCCTGTCCTGCTTGGAATTTTGATGCTACAACCTTCACAATGACCAGGCTACATGGGCTGGGGAAAGGGAGAGAAAGGGACAGGAGCCCAGCATCCCTGTAAAGTAGGACTCACACAGAAACATAATCCAAATTATAGTGATTATTTAAAGCTTATGTCTCTATGACACCCATGTTACCTATTTCAGACTTCTTCAGTACATTTTGAAAAAGCATCTTGATGTAAACAAGCTTTAATACATATATAGACATGGTTTAGCAAGGACTTGGCAGTGCTGGCTTAGTAGTTGGACTTGATGATCTTAAAGGCTTCTCCAACCTACACAATTTTATGATTCTATAAGAGATATCAAGGTATTTATATTTATATACCCTAGTCCCCTGTAGTAGCTCTCACTTTCCCTACAAGTCAACAATGAAATCATTCATCATATTAAAAAAAACCAGTTCCACCAACCATGGAAGAAACCATGCATGGACTTGTCTGAACACCCAGAAGTATCTGTTATGAGTGACTATTTATTAGGAAAGAGATCCTCCCTGTATGGATGCAGCAGTATTTTGCCTGTACCAGCCAGTGGTGTGTGCCCACCCCCTTTGTAACACAACACAAAACCCAGATCTTGGTTGGGGACATGATGCAAAAGAAGGTAGGACACGATTTCAAACGTGGGTCCAAGAACAGGGAGCACAAGGAACGTTCTGGGCACATTCCTGGACAATCCTGAAACTCTTTCTCATTAGGCACTGAAAGGGATAGATGGAATATCTCTAAAAAAAGCTGATTAAGTGCTGGATGCCACTGCCACACTGGGACAACTGTAAAGCACTATGGACTTTATTCTGCTTACTTTTCAATTTGATACTGGCACGGCTTTAGAGATCCAGCTTTGATTAACACTCCTAAAAATGCCGTGGGGAGGAGGAAAATCAAGCCTCTATTTGATATTAATACAGGGCAGTCTATCCACAGTGGGGACAATTCTACTGCACCGACTGAAACTGCAACTCCTGTTAAAAAGATTCCTACATCTGGATTTTTCTGCGTTTTCAGCTGATAATAATAATAATGACCTCAGCAGAGGTCATTAATCATCAACTGAACTTAATGGCCCTCAGCTGCATCTCGAGCCATCCCAGCTCCTCCCAGCTTCATATTAATTCCCAGGAAACGCCTTATGCCTTAATTGCTATTGCCTGTGACTTCTAATAACTGCTGAATGTACTTATCTGGATAAAAGTCTTTCAGAGTCATTCCAATCTATAAGAAAATTTATCATATACATTTTAAAGACCTAAGCAAGTTCTCTCCCTTTCAAGTTTTGTGGATAAATTATTCAAGACACATAATCCTCTCAGTCTGGGACTTTTAAAGTGCTTTTAGGATTCGGTACTTTTAAAATGCTTTTAGAAAATAAGTCTTTAAACTTTCAGAGTACTTGGAAAACTTAGGAGAAAAAAAGGGACGTCCAAAGTTAAGCAGCAGTGATGTTACTCTTAAAAAGTCAAAATGCAGAAAGTCATGAGTTAATCATTTATTTCTGGGATTTTTGGAGTGTCTTCATCCACCCCAAGTATGTCTCCACGAGGACCAATTAATGCTCTGGAAAATGTGAGGAGCCTTCATTTGATCAAGTTCTCACTTCTCCCTCATAAGCTCCTTGCCCCCCTCTTCATCTCATTCCTGTGCCCAACACTGGGCACCTTTCCCTAGTTCTTTCTTTCCTGTCACCTTCTGTCAGCTCCCATCACCCTCACTCACCACCTCTAGCAATTTCTGAAATTTTTTTTCTAAATTAACAAAATTATCACAAATAGGATCATACTAATTAAGGCCGCTGATTACTCAAGCTTGATGGTTATCATTTACGACAGCGAGTGCTGAGGACAAACAGAGCACCATGCAAGGAAGAAATGAGGGTTGGACTGACAGACATGAGCTAGAAGCCTCTGAGGACAAGGGCAAACCTATGCTCTCCTGGACTAAAAACCATTTCTGCCACTAAATGGGAGCTCACCTTGACATGTAAATCACATGATAACAGTGATCAGTGAACTGCAGCCATAAGGAGGCAAACAAGATACTGGATATATCTGGAACAGTATTTCCAGTAAGGTAAAGGAAAGGATTAACAGAATTATATAGAGCACTATTGCACCTCATTAAAAATGCAGGGTTTTTTGGCTACATCCCAAACAGATTAAGGCAAACAGGAATAGATTCAGATAAAGGTTACAGAGAGGTGCTGGAGCGTGTCCAGAGAGGGGCAACAATGCTGGGGAAGGGTCCGGAGTAAAAGTCTGATGAGGAGCAGCTGAGGGGGCTCATCCTGGAGAAAAGGAGGCTCAGGGGGGACCTTATTGCTCTTTACAACTCCTTGAGAGGAGGGTGGAGCCAGGTGGGAGTCAGTCTCTTCTCCCAGATAACAAACAACATAACAAGAGGAAACGGCCTCAAGTTGTGCCAGGGGAGGTTTTAATAGGAAGAATTTATTCATGGAAAGGGTTGTCAAGCATTGCAACAGCTTGTCAACCATGGAGTCACCATCCCTAAAAGTGTTCAGGAAACATGTGGATGTGGCACCTGGGGACATGGTTTTGTGATGAACATGGCAGTGCTGGATTAATGGTTGAACTCTTTTAGAAGTCTTAGTCTTTCCCAACTTTAACCATTCCACGATTCTATGAATGAACAACTCACTGAATAAGAAATGAAAATTCTTGCCTTATTTAGCAAAACAAAGCAAAGCCTGAGAGGAGATGGGACAATCATCAGTAGTTTACCAGAACTGTTCAGAATCAGGACAAAGGACACTGTGTAGAGTAGAAACTAGAAAACTGTTGGCATAAAACAAGTGGAAACAGTTGGC